ATCATTCATGTTGTGAATACATTCAAGGAATGCCATTCTTACTACCCCCAAAAGAAAGACATTTGATGACTACATTATCATCTTCAAACTAAAGGACACAGAGACAGCTTTATATAGACATAATGAATTGGGAGTTTTATGAACATTCTAAAATGCATCTGTTTTAGTGACTAACATATTAATGGGAACACACCTGATACTCAAAAAACCATAAATCCTAAACTGTGAAATCTTGAGCACTGTGCCTATTTATCTCTGCATACATACTTGATATAATGGCTGACACACTGAAAGTGTTCAATAATATTACGTTGAATCAATGAGTGAAAATGGATGGAAGATAATCCAAATCTATTTATTTACATAGTAGTGGATAATACAGTCCCAAGGATATGTCAAAAGTATTTCTTATATAAGGAAGTGAAGGATTTGAGTCTGTTTTCAAAAAAAAACTATAGGTGTCTACCAAGACTGCTTTTTGAAAGAAACCATCTCGTTAGGGAGGAGTCCTGGGTAATTCCATATATGACTCTTCCCCAGCACCGCAACAGATTTAAATGTTACGTAAGCATTTGATAACTGAACTGTCTACTAAGTATTGGTCTATGATGTGCTTTGGTCGTGATTAAGTTGGACCAAATTAAATCTGTCTCTTGAGAATCTGAATTAGAGCTTGCAGGCATCGGGCAGTTTGTAACAGGAGCAGAAATAAAAAGGCATCCAGAGTGGGGGCTTGTAACTAGTGTACACCAGAGTTAGGACATTTGTTTCTGAGGCACCAAGTCCTAGAGAGTCTGTGTAGTCACCTAAGTTGTTGACTGACTTACTAGAACTATTGCTATGTCTTCAATATTCCAGTCTCACTGAGATCTGCCATCATCGTAAAAAAAAAACCTGTATAATTCTGAGCACCACTTTTAAATGCAATAATGCCAAACTACAGTGTATCCAAAGAAACAGGGAATGTGATTTGGATTGTAATTTGAATAAGGTATGCCTGAAGAGAGTGATCATGCTTAGAACAAAGAAAAAGTATAGAGCGTAGAAAGATAAACTTGGAGGGATGTGAAAAACAGAATGAGTATAATCTTGGTAGGGTAGAAGAAAGTCCAATGAATAAACAAAACAAAGAGGTAGATCTGCTTATACTCAATTGAAAAATAAATATTCCAACATTTTGCTGGCACTTGAGTGATCTTGCCCTGGCCAATGTGGATAAGGAGGTTGAGCATCGTCCCATGCACTGAGAGGTCATAAGTTCAGTTCCTGGTCAGGGCACATGCCAGGGTAGCAGGCCTAATCCCCAGTAGGGGGGCATGCAGGAGGCAGCCAATGGAGAAGTCTCTCCCTTCTTCTCTCACTAAACTCAATAAAAACATTTTTTTAAAGAGTGATCTTGAATGATAAAATTGTAGTAATAAGATATTGTAGATATTAGATAACCAGAACTTCTTTGATTTAAAGAATGTATCATACAAATATATCATTTAAAGAATATATCACAAAGAATATGTCCAGTGTTATAGAATCTTTTTTTTAGAAAATTAGGCTAATTATCAGCAGTAGATTTATCATAGTTTTAAAGTTTCTCATTTTTACCTATTGGGAAAGACTCAAACGACTCTGTTTTTGTATTTTTGTATTATTTTACTTAAAGAAAGCCCCCCTAAACCAGTGGTCAGCATACTGCAGCCAGCAAGCCTCATTTGGTTCTTTGGCCCCTTGAGTGTGGCTCTTCCACAAAATACCACGTGTGGACGCGCACGTACAGTATGATTGAAACTTCGTGGCCCATGTGCAGAAGTCGATATTTTGTGGAAGAGCCACACTCAAGGGGCCAAAGACCGCATGTGGCTCGAGAGCAACAGTTTGCCGAACAATGCCCTAAACTATATAAGTTGAATGTCCATAAACCTGAATTAACCATTATTAATAGTGATGATTAACAATAATACAGGGATTTTTAAACCTCTTCCATTCATATTTAGAACCACAAATTAGAATGACTTCTAATTTATGCATAAAGAACTTTTGATATGTGTAATTATAATAGGAACAAACGTGTTCATTTGTTATGCACTGATTAAAATTTAATCAGTGTAATAAAGGGCTCTGCAGAAATGCAAGCTCCTAAAGTACCAATACAAGTCTAAACATGGAAAAGTAAAAGAATTAAAATGGATATTGTTTTCTTGAAAGGCAGATTTAAATGATACATTTTTATCATTGAGCCACTCACATAATGGGCATCCAATAAATATTTGTTTCTGTATGTAGATCTTGCATTTCTATGATTTTATTTAAGCTTCACTTTCAGTATTGTTACAAATACTTAAATATACTTATATTTTTGCAAGAGTTTCACATAACTTCACATTCAGTTTTACTTGATAAAAAATATATGTATTTTCCTTTAATAGTATCAAAATGAAATAGAAATTAACTCATCATTAGCAGCAAAATAAACAAGCAAACAAAACTAAAATAGGAAGACAACCAATAAAAAGGGGTGCTCCGGTTTTGATTACAAATAAGTAAAAAGCAAGTTTTACATTGCCTTTCTTTAGACCATTTGTATAGCTGCTATTTTTGTAATATTTTACAAATGGCATGAATAAAGTATGTCTGCTGTGGCTTCTTTCAGAAGAAATGATGATCTATATAAACTTTTCTCTCATAATAAGTTAAGACATTGGGTAAAAAGAGCCAGTTGTCCCGTTTGAGAATACTTATTAATCATTTTCATGGTTGATAGTTTTATCTTTGGGAACCCCTGTAATCAAGATCTCCTTTCATGTAGTTTTGTTTGGGATTATGGTTAAACAGTTTCTGCTCAGTCTCTCCTCGGGGAAGAGGCCACAGCTGTCATGTGGAATGGCAGTGATCCCTGCAAGCTGCAGTGGGGACCCATAAACTCTGTTGTGACTTCTTAAAAAATGAAAAAGTATGACCTTTCTGATAGCAGGACCTCAAACAAAGATGTTTTTACACCCTCATCCATCACACACACACACACATACCTTGCCCTGTTTTCATTTCATTTTAGGTTTTTGTCGTGTTTTATTTCTGCAAAGTTTCCACTGTTCTTGGTGATGAACTCTAGATAGAAATTGGGAAACACCTCAATCACATTCATCAATTTTTTAATTGTGACCTTTCTATGTGGAGTCCTCAAGTGTTTTTTCACTTCCAACATATAATTTCATTATTTACTTTCGAGGAGAATAGTACAGATTGTTACCAGGGCTCATTCTAAGGAAGCTAATCAATTTAAAATGTTTAAAGTGTTTAAATTATACCTAGAGCCTGCAAGGCTTTGGTATTGTTGCTTATTTTTGAGTTTGGCTGAAGAAATGAATTTTAAGTTATGGGATGTAGTTTAAAACTTGTGAGATCAGGTGCTTCTAAGATCAGATACTTTGTATCCTCACAAGATTTAAGGATTGTTCTGGAAAAATCTCCAAATCTTGTTCTTATGTATATAAACTTTTTTAAAATTTTTAATAGGTTTTAATATTTTAGTTGGTAACCTTTTAAAGTACAGTTTATTTTTCATTAAGAATTAGTTTGAGTCTTTTAATTAAATTCATAAAATAGAAATTGTAAGCATGAAGAGGATCTTTTATGTAGAAAAAAGGACAATTTGAGATATGAGATGTGTGATTTGTGGTTTCATCACTAAGTGATTCTTAGTTGCAAAGTCCTGTACAACTCAGTGCAAGTTAACTCTTCTCATGGACATTTGTAATTCAACAGAATTACAAACTGTCCCAGTATCTGTGGTAATCTACTTTTCCAAATTAAAAATTCACAAGTTCATGCTTATACATTAAAGAATAAGGCCTTGATGATCCAGATGATCTCATTATTTTATTAGAAACATATTTTGGAAGAAATGTATTGTTATTTGATCAAATCATCACTCAAAAATGTGCTTTAATCCCACATTGCTAAATCTCAACTGGTTTCTTTTCAATCTAAAATATATTTGATTCATAGCGTGGCATAATTAATGCTTAAAGCAATGTTTAGATGATGTAAGAACAATATTTTAAAATCTAAGCCAGTCATCTTATGTCTAAGTGCCTTTCTTACCCTTTCAAAACAGGACTTGTAACATCTCCTTGTTCTTTCTCTGACAGATCGGGGCACCGTGCAGAAGGTGGTGGTGCTTCCGGCCAACAGTTCTGCCAGCAGCGAGCTCATTCTGGAGGAGCTGGAAGTGTTTAAGGTTGGAACAACTCTTCTATTAGTCTCTGAACATGCATGATAAGCAGAATTCTTTCATCTAACAGACACTTTGGAGGGAAATAACATCTTATAAAAGATCAAATAAAGAATGTAATAAATTGTGAGGGTAAGAACACCAGATAACATGAGAAATATGGAACATTTTTCTGAAGTATTTTGATGCATTTCAAGCTCTCTTAACATAAAAGGATTAGTGTTTCTCGGCTATCATCACAACTTGAAGAATTTTGTTCATCATTATTTTTAAAAAATGAGTTCTGTGGTCAAGGTCTAGGAGATTTGCCTTGAAAGGGCTTTTCTCATTTGCTTCACAAACCACTGAAACCCAAATGCTTTCACGTTATTGATTGTTAGATAAACTTTCTCATATTTTTTAGCCAGGAATTTCAAGATAAACTGCTTTGTTGTCTCCTTTTTTATTGTTTTCCATTTAAATGTCGCCCTAATTAAGTAAAACAAATGTTGTCTCTTTATCACTCAAAATTTTATGTTCTCTCTGAACTTGAGATCTCACTGTATATTCTTTCTGTTCTTGAATTTGGCTTTTAAACAAAGAAAGACAACAACAACAAAGGCACACAGAGAGAAGTTGAGTCCTGCAAGATCTTACCTGGTCAGGGCAAAGTGCCGATTCTTTATGTACCTGTGAGCCTGGAGAGCAGATCTGTGGTGCCCTGCACATCCTTCGCCCCTGAAGGCGTAGGTCATCATAGTTCAGTGGTCCCTTTTATCTGCTTTGAAAAGATGGGTAAAAGCACAGACAGAGGATCTGTTAGGATCAAAATGAAACTTTGACATAGAATCAATTCTGCATTCTACACTATTGTCAACTAAAACAAGTAAGAAGCATTGGCCCCCGGACACCGAAAGACTGGAGTCAGCGTATAACTAAGTAAAAGTAGCATGTCAGAACTCAGGGGCAGACTGTTGTTAGTCCAGTGAGTTGCTTTGCTTAGTTTCGTGGACTCAGAATGTATTGACTTATTGATATACATTACCACAGTCACCCAAAATATTGAATTTATAAGCACATACGTGATTGAGACAGCCTGCTGTTAGATGATGCTAGTACATTTTCAATGTGAAGGAATATTTTTAATCAAATCAAATATAAAAATGTGAGGAACTCCGGGAAATTGTTCAGTGTTATTAAGTTGACAATGTTTAATGCTAGCTCCCTTAGTCATAAGCTTTTTGTGATTAGTGCATTAAAATCGTGCTCATTAAATGTTCACGACATGCTTTCAAGTGTCTTTTCTGTGCTTGCTTTGGAAAGAAATTGTTTCACTAGATTAACCAGAATCACATTATATATAAAATATAATTTTATTTCATTCAATTCAGTAGGGACAACTTGGCTAGCCAAAATAATATAAAGAGCCTTATTCTGAACTTCTCCTGAAGATAGCAAAAATGCCATATTGCAGCACTTCATTTTGAATTCTGAAATACCTTTTTTAGGCAATCAGGAAATGTTAATTAAGTGAGCTTGACACAAACTCAAACATGTATGTTATGGCAAGGCCTTAAAGAAACGTGAGTTCTTCTGATCATGTGCTAACTAATTATGGTCTGTTAGATGAGTAAGGCCGGTGTTATCATCGCAAAGAATAAACTCTCAGTGGAAAAATAGAGTCAGTCTAAATGCATGCGTGTGCCAGTGACTGATGTGGCTGAATTGAGAGATACAGTTACCAAATACAGTTACTGTCTTTGACGTGGTGTTTGGGTCACATTTTCTGAGGTGAGGTAAAAATGATTGGGTGTGTATGCTATACTGTGATAGGCACATCAGGAAATAATGCGTTCAAATGGAAAAAAATGCCTTAGTTAAGGGTCCCACAGATACACTGCAGGAAACTCAATGTAACTTTTAAAAACCAGGCACTTTGTTTCATATACTGTGCAGAACCACGATCTCTTATTTTAATCCTCTGTTCAGAATAATTTCTGAAAATATGTCCAGCGTCCCTAAACTTAACTTGAATTGGAGGTGCAACTTTGAGATGTTGCCTAGTTGGACGTAAATTACAATACTTTCTTTTGTATGTGTGTGTGTTTCTCTTTTTTTAATTTAAATTCTTCATTGTTTAAAGTCTTACATAAGTCTCCTTTTCCCCCCTTGACCACTCCCCGACTACCCCCATCCCCCAGCACATGCTCTTACCCTCCCCCCCATCTGTGTCCATTGCTTCTGCTTATATGCATGCATACAAGTCCTTTGGTTGATCTCTTACTCCCTTCCCTTCTCTCTCAGGTTGGATGGTCTGTTCAGTGCTACCTTGTCTCTGGATCTATTTTTGTTCATCAGTTTATGTTGATAATTATATCCCATGTATGAGTGAGATCGTGTGATATTTATCTTTCTCCACTGGCTTATTTCACTTAGCATAATGCTCTCCAGGTCCATCCAAGCTGTTACAAAGGTTAAAGCTCCTTCTTTTTTACCGCAGGATAGTATTCCATCATGTAGATGTACCACAGCTTTTTAACCCACTCATCTGCTAATGGGCTCTTAGGCTGTTTCTAAATCTTAGCTATTATAAATTATGCTTCTATAAACAAAGGGGTACATATATCCTTTCTGATTGGTGTTTCTGATTTCTTGGGATATATTCCCAGAAGTGGGATTACTGGGTCAAATTGGAAGTTCCATTTTGAATTTTTTAAGGGAACTCCATACTGTTTTCCACAGTGGTTGCACCAGACTGCAGTCCCACCAACAGTGCACCAGGGTTCCTTTTTCTCCACATCCTCACCAAACACTTGCTCCCATGCAGTGGGCTTTCTTGTTGTTTTGTTGATGGTTTCTTTTGCTGTGCAGAAGCCTTTTATTTTGAAGTAGTCCCATTTGTTTATTTTCTTCTTAGTTTCCATTTCCCTAGAAGCTGTATCGGTAAAGATATTGCTACGACGTATGTCTACTATTTTGCTGCCTATGGAGTCTTCTAAGATTTTTATGGTTTCCCTGTATGTGTGTGTATCTCTAAGCAATGAGCCAAACTTGTTACAATAGTGTTTAGAGATATTGCCATTTTATCTTTCAAATGTTAGAACATACAGCTTCAGAAAGTGAAACCATTGTGGGCACAGTTGATTTTGAAAGGTTGCTCCCACTTGAGTTAATCAAGTAAAATTTCAGACTTTCATTAGGTTATCACATCTAATTTTGAATCTTTAAAAGTAATAATATTTAAGAAGTAAATTTATAAATAGAGTGGCTTTCAAAAAGGATTACTGTTTCAGAAAATTCTTAGATTCTTTAACTGGTTCACATTTATTAAAAGAGGATCTTTGCCCTAGCCGGTTTGGCTCAGTGGATGGAGCGTCGGCCTGCAGACTGAATGGTCCCAGGTTCGATTCCAGCCAAGGGCATGTACCTTGGTTGCGGGCACATCCCCAGTAGAGGGTGTGCAGGAGGCAGCTGATCGATGTTTCTCTCTCATCGATGTTTCTGACTCTCTGTCCCTCTCCCTTCCTCTCTGTGAAAAATCAATAAAATATATTTTTAAAAAAAAAAGAGGATCCTTGCCCTGATGTGGCTCAGTTAGTTGGAACATCGAACACCGAGAGGCGGGGTTGAATGCCCATTCAAGGCACATGCCCATATTTCAGGTTTGATCCCTGGTTGGGGCACATGCAGGAGGCAACGAATTGGTGTATTTTTCTCTCTATCTCTCCTTTTCTCTCTTAAAATAGCAATATTTTTTTATAAAGAGGATCCCTGACAACATTACTTTGCAGCAAAAAGAATTAATAAGTATGGTTCAAGCTAATACTCCTTTCCAGAACAACTGTTGTCAGGTGAACAATTGTGTCTTACGCAGAGTGCTGCGTGTGGAATAAGATGGGGTACCATTCCACAGTCCCCACCCAGATACCCAGATTCAATCCTGAGTTACTCATTGGATTCGTTATTCCAAGATGCACTTTTTTCAGTTCTCTCAAATTGTCATTTTTTTCTAATGACTATATTGATATATGTTATAATTGCAACTTTTGTTTTAGTTTAGGCATATATATATATATATATATATACACACACACACACACACACACATTTAGAGAGGAATAATGATTTCTTGAATTTCAATAGAAAAGAGAAATTGTTTTGAATGCAAAATCATTTTTAATGATTATTTGAACAACTAACAATATTTTTCTTTTTTCAGAATCACGTTCCTATAACAACAATGAAAATTTCATCTAAAAAGGTAAAATCAACCCCATTTTTATTTTCTTTGCATGTAAAAAATTTTACTACTATGAAAAAGTGTATTTATAATTTCTGAAAAATCTATTTTAATATGAGCATAATAATTAATACTATTTACAGAATACCACAATACCATAAAATCACTTTCAATTTTGATGTAGAATTCACTAGCTAGTAGTGGAGACAAAAATAGGTTTATTTTTTGTACAAAAGTCCATCAGAGCAAAACACACGTATGTACAGCATGATAGCCCAACATTTTGTATATCCGATATGCTAAAATATTACTGTGTGTTAAGCCAACCAAAATAAAAGATAAAATAAAAAACACCTTTCTGAAGAAAGAATTTAGCAGGGCCACTATAATATCACATTCTCAGGAGCTTAGATTGAGTAATTAATCCTCTTCTGAGTTCCTGATTCTGTCACATGTTTAAAATATGAAATGCATTTTTAAGCTTATTTTTAAGAAAAGGCTATTTTTTAGGATTATACATGTCATTAAAAAAAAATCTGAATGTTTCCAATCTAAGCCATAACCAGGTTCAGGATTTGGTGAAGGAGTGTTCGACTGTGATTACCAGCAATGTTTAACCTTCTCCTTTGTGCCTGCACATGCAAATATACAAGGATCACAGAAAAGAAACGTGCCGTTCCAATCTCTACATGTCCATCCCTAATGGTACCCCAAAGCAAACACTGTAAGGGCCAGAGCAGTATAATAAAAAGTGGAGTAGGCTTAAGAGCAGGAGTGGCATACGTTTGAATCTTAACCTGACCATAAATTACAAATGAGCCTTCTAACTTCACTGAGCTAAGTTTCTGCCTCTACAAGGTAATGCGTTTCTCACAAATTAATTTATATAAATTGCCCAAAATAAAGTGGTTCTTTGGTAACTGCTGTTTGTAGGAGCCTAAGACTCATTTTTCTTGGAATAGAGAATAAAGGTTTTATGTGTTAGCACAACAGATGACATAACTTTGGTGTTCTTCACCATATTTGGTCTGATGCAGATGAACAAGTAATCCACAGTCAGTCTTGTCCTAGTTTTCACTTGACTAAATTTATGAAGAAAAATAAATAGGGTAAAACAAAACTAAAGAGCTCATCTGTAATAATGTTTGTATGGTGCATAACAAACATTTTCCCAAGTAACAAGAAGCCATTTATCATTTCTCCCAATGTCCTAGAGAGCTGAGTCCAAGTCAGAATTGTCTTTGAAGTCAGCAGCAGGAAAACCCTTTGTTTACTGTAGTTTAATGGAAAGCGAAAGTATTAGAGCAAAATTCAAAATGAACATGAAGCCATTTGTATGGCATGGTAGTTGTTCATTATACAGTTACAGGTTTCAACTTTCAATTCAACTTGTGAACTTATAGTTCACAGTCCATTCCATAAAACTGCAATATACAACACACACATACACACAGAAAAAAACTGAGTATTAAATGCTTTCAACACCTTAAAATGTAGATAATTACAAATGTTTCATTAAATTAATTAGATAGAGGGGCAGGGTAATTATTTGATTTTGGGGAGACTTTGTTTGCCCAACTGCATACTGCATTGTTACAGTGTGAAAGAACTACAAATTGGCAATGATAACATTATAGATATATATATACACAAGTTTATATATCATGAATTTTTAAAAAATATGTTTTTATTGATTTGAAAGAGATAGGAAGGGAGATAGATAGAAATATCAATGCATCAACATCAATTGGCTGCCTCCTGCATGACCCCTGATGGGGACTGAGCCCAAAACCTGGGTATGTGCCCTGACTGGGAATGGAACCATGACCTCCTGGTGCATGGGTAGATGCTCAACCAACTGAACCACACGGGCTAGGCTAGATATCATGAATTACTACCTTCCCTAGTGCTCAGACTATTTTATTGCCACTTTTATGGACTTTTATTCTCTAAGTTATTCTTGCATTCTATGCAGCAGAAAATAGTTGAATTACTTAAAAAAAAAAAAAAAGAAAAAAAAGGAATTTCTAAAATGAAACTATCTGTATCCTTTTCTCAAATAAACCAGTTTCCTCAAAAAATTTTAATAAAGCTGATGTATTCACTGTGTTATTTATTAATGTACTAAGTAAGCACCACTTTAAATATTGTTAGAGAAATGATTATTATCAAAACATGCAGTTGTTTTCTTATGGTTTGAATGTCTCAACTTGGGATCAATATTTTTCAGCCCAATTTTTGAAAAAAAATAGATCTGAATAAAAAATTATTTTACATTAGATATAGAGTGAGGTGTGATTCAAATGATTTATCAGACTTGAAAATTTATAAATTGATAATATACTCTACTACAACTGTTATTTAACATTCATTGAGCTCGTAGGCATCAGAAAATATGCTAAAAATTTTATGTGGAGTTAGCTGTTACATTCATTTCTTACAAAAACTCTATAGGGTACATGCTCTATTATCCCAGTTTTAGCAAAGAGGAAGCTGGGATTCTGAAAAGTTACACAGCAAAATTTTGGTTGAGCCAGGGTTTGAATCTCAGAAGTATGCCCCCAGAGCCTGCTGGACAATGACGTCCCCACTGATTTAATTCTAAGTAGCATATACATATATGTATATAATATGTGTAGATGAATGTGTATGTGCACATGTGTGTGAATGTATATGTGCATGTATCCAAGATCCAGCTTAGAGATGTATGCTAACTTTGAATCACATATCAGTCCTTTGTAAAATATTTAGCGTCAATTAGAAACTTACCCCATCATCTCCTGAGAACCACTTCATGCTAGGCGACAGGAATTAGAGCAGTATCATAAAAACTCCCGACACCCTACAAAAGGATAAAATCTACAAAAGGACTTAGGGTGCTGAATAGCTCTGGATACACAGAAAGTTTAAGACATGTCTACTTATAAATACTTATATTCTTCTAAATAATTTGAAAATCACCTAATGAGAAATATGTCACTTTCAAAGGCATGTGAAAATGGGTATTTTTTAATTTTATGTACTACTATCTACTTTTTCTTCTAAACTTAAAAATGTCTTGTGTTTTAGACTTCATTTTTTCAAATTTACAACGTGATGGGTTGCCAGACTTGAAGAATAAAAAAGCTGCCTTGTACTTTGCAAAAAGACAGCATTCAAAGAAAAAAGCAAACACCATAATTTAAATCTGTAATATATTAGCTCAAATCTGAGAGAACAATGAATCCCAATGTCTAAAACACATTACCATTCTACATGGTACTCTGAGCTTTTTCCTTTAAACAGGAAAGTGGTAATGTTATAGGCATATTAACGTAAAAAAATTTATTTATTTTGGCTTTATATCCTTCTGGACTTTGCTTCTCATTTTTAGTCTAGTTTCAAAATGAATCCAGGGGTCTGTGGGCATATATTATAATGTGTGCCTGCTGAAAGTCCCCTTTTAACTTCCGCATCTGAAATAAATCATCATCATTCTTCTCATAGCAACAGTTGTACGTGAGTTCCAACGAAGGGGTTTCCCAAGTGTCCCTGCATCGCTGCCACATCTACGGCACAGCCTGTGCCGACTGCTGCCTGGCCAGGGACCCTTACTGCGCCTGGGATGGCCATTCCT